AAAACGTTTTAGAATCAATATTTTTTAATCATATGTTTTTTTGTTTATTTTTTTTACACTTTATGAATAGTATTTCTTAGGTTAAATAACAAACAAGTTTTTGGAATTGATTTTTTTTCATAAAGGTGTTTAAAATAACTCTTATTTTTGGTCTCTGTTTATTTCATCAAGTAAGTTAAAATAAGCATGGTCAAGTAAGTCACGGTCGTTTTGTTTGTTCCATCAAACACTATTTTTGTGCAAAATTTTAGATTGATTGAGACAAGAAATCATTCTGAAATACACCTAAAATCGATTTCAGTCAATATAGTTATTATTTTTTTAAAAATTTGTTTTTTATTTGCCGAAGTGGAGACTACACGCGTTTTGTTTGTCCCATCGAACACTATTTTTGTGCAAAATTTCAGATTGATTGGGAGCAGGGGTCATTCGGAAGTATATGCAAAGTTAATAATTGTACTGTTACAAGTGTAACATAAATAGAATAAATGCAGAAATGCTTGGTCATATTTTGGAGTTTGATCTATCATCCGATAAGAAAAGAAAAAATACAAAAAAAAATTAAAGAAAAAACAAAAAAATACTACACAAACAACATAATTTTTAATACTTTAACATATAATTTAAAACTATATTTAAAGAATTTATAATTTATATCATATTGAAAGAATGGTATTGAAATGAATTTAACATTATCTTTGTCATAGATACTTTGTTAAACAATGGTTACCCTCTCGATTTTATTTTCTCTAACATTAATTCTAGCATCAAAAAGTTTATATCCAAAAAAATTAACAATTTTTTTTAATTTGGTTCTTCCACAATGACTGATAGAAGATTAATCGTTTTACCATATATTAATAATGTATCCGAAAATATTAGCAATAACTTTCCTAAAGAAGATATTATCATAGGTTATAAATGTTTTAACAGACTTAATCGGATTATTAAAGTACATAAAGNTTTAGTTCCACATGACTCTAACAGTAATATTATTTATAAAATTAATTGTATGAACTGTTGTGCGTCTTACGTTGGTCAGACAAAAAGGCAATTAAAAACGCGAATAAAAGAACATATAAATAATATCAAAAAGACATCTTCACAACTTTCAGTAATTTCGAAACACGTGTTAGATTACAATCATACATTTGATTGGAATAATATCCAAATCTTAGACCATGAATCTAACTTTTACAAAAGATTGATTTCCGAAATTATACATATAAAAGAACAGATTTTCGGTTTAAATTTAATTAACGACACTGACTTACTTGACCTCTCAAGGAGGTGTACAAAACGTGTAAATTACGTCATTAAAGTGTACTACACTTTCAAGAAGAACAGCGTGTAATGACGAAACTCTACGTCACTTCCGGCAAGAAAAACGCTAAAGTGTACATTTTACACTAAAGTGTATAAAGTGTATGCAAGAAAAACAGACCTATAATATAATTGTTTTGCCGAATGCGACCATTGGCCACGTTTAGCAGAACTCAGCGCTTAGTAAGCGCTTTACGCTTATTGTCTGTGATTGGACTCTTCTTGTAAATCCGCTGGACTCACATAATATGTAAAGGCCTATCTACATAAGACGCAGATGCTAGTCGCAGATCGCAGGTCTTGCGGAATTGATCAATTACATTGGTCAAATCAGCGAACATGATTGGTCAATTCCGCGAGACGTGCGACCTGCGACCCGCGTCTGCGCCTTATGTAGATAAGCCTTAATATAGATTTTTAGTACTGTCAGTACTAAAGACATATACTTTCATATACTTTCAGCGGATTTACAAGAAGAGTCCAATTTAATAAGTGCTTAAAAATCTCCTTTTCAGTGAGTACAACTATCATATATAATATTTTTAGTATGTATTATATATGTGTATACATGTTATATAGAATCAATTTTAGTCGATATAAGTTTTATTTTTTTTTAATTTGTTTTTTATTTCTCGAAGTTGGGACTACGGTCGTTTTGTTTGTTCCATCAAACACTATTTTTGTGCAAACTTTCAGATTGATCGAAAAAAGGAGTCATTCTGAAATACATCTAAAATCGATTTTAATCG